GCTGGTGCATGGGAGCCGCGATGGTGCACGGGAGCCGCGATGGTGCACGGGGCCGCACTCGCTGATGCACGGGGCCGCCAAGCGTGAGAAGCCACAGATCGGAACCTGCCTGCTGACACCCTGATTTTGGAATTTCAGCTCCCAGAACTGTGAGAGGTAAATCTCTGTTGCATAAGCCAAAAATTAATTAATTAATTAATTCATTCATTCTTTAAAAAACACAAACGGTTCACCAACAAATGGAATTAAAGTACAAGTTTTATTTTGGGGCAAAAAAATTTGAAATCCATGCATAGTTTTTTGCAATACACCTTTTTCATAAGCTTTTTAAAGACCCCTCATACACTTAGAGATGAGGAGTGTTGCCAGATACTTAGTTATCTACTGCTATATAACAAACCACCCCAGAATTGACTTGCTTTAAAAGCCGCCATTCTAGGGCCAGCAGGTGGCGTAGTAGTGAAGTTGCTAGACTCCCACGTGGCCTACTACAGTTCGTATCCCAGATCGGGCGGCTTGCTTCCTCACTCCCACCTCCCCTCCTCTCTCTGGTGAGTGCACATGCCCTATAACAAAAATTAATAATAATAATAAATAAAATTAATAATTTTTCGAAAAGCCACCACTCTGTGGCCAGCCAGTAGCATGGTGCTAGATTCTGCATGGCTGATTGCACAGTTCAAGTCCTAGACCCAGTGGTTTGAAAAACACACGGGAGGAGCCAGCAGTTAGAGTAATGGCTATGTCGCTGGACTCCCACGTAGTTGACCGTGGTTCGCGTCCTGGACCCGGTGGCTTAAACTCACGCAGGGCGCGTGTGTGTGCGTGCCCAAGATCCCGAGAGGAGAATGGAGGAGAAGGGACTGTGGCGTGGCCATCCCCCTGGGGGGTGATTTCTCGCTTTCTGTCTCTATGTCTCTCTCTGTCTGTCTGGTGAGTGCACGTGCCCTATAGCAAAAATCTGTCCTAAATAAATGAATAAATAAATAAAACAAAAAAACAAAAAACAGTGGACACTTGTGTGTGCCCAAAGTTCCAAAAGGAGAATGCAAGAGAAGTGGCCGCCGCGTGGCCGTCCCCCAGGGTGACTTCTCACTTCCTCTCTCCTCTGGGCTCTTTTTAGGGTTTTGCTATAAGGCATGCGTGATTGCAGGAGAGAGACAGAGAGGGGGAAGGCGAGAAGTCAGCCCTCACAGGGTATGGCCAGACCACAGTCCCTCTCCACCATTGTCTCCTCAGGGTTTGGGGCACTCAGGCACACACGCCTGGTATGATTTTCAAGCCACCAGCTCTGGGACTCGGACTGTGGTCTGCCACGTAAGAGTCCAGTGCCCCAGCCATGCCACCTGCTGGCTGTGGACATGATTCTTAGGGGCACGCTGTTGGTCCGGACGCCTCGCTGTAGAAGATAGGGAGATAGTGATGGATTCCCTTTCTTCGTTTGTTTGTTTGTTTTTTCAGAGAGATTTTTGCTACAGGGAGCATGTGCTTGCCAGGGAGGCAGCGAGAGAGACAGAGGGTCAGAAAGTGAGTAATCATCACCCAGGGAGGGTGGCCACGCCGCAGTCCCTCCTTCTCCATTCTCCTCTCGGGATTCTGGGAGTGCACACATTTGCCTGGCGTGAATGTTAAACCGCCAGGTCTGGGACTTGAACCACAGTCTACTACAGGGGAGTCCAGCAACATAACCGTTATGCCATCTGCTGGTTCCCCCATGATGGATTTCTTAATATCACACAAAAAGCCTTGATTCATTCAGTTTTTAAAAAACGACATGTACAGGGACCAGGGAGCAGCAGGAGGCATGTTGCTGAGGGCACAGGGCTCTCACATGCCCAGTCCGGTTAGAGTCCCAGACCTGGCTGTGTGGGTTACATCAGGCCCACGTGCGTGCCCAAGATCCCCAGAGGAGAACGGAGGAGAAGGGATTGCAGCGTGGCCACCCCCAGGGGGGATTTCTCACTCTCCTGCTCGCTCTCTCTGTCTTTTTCCTGGCACACGCACCCTAAGAGAAAACCTAAAATAAATAAATAAATAAATAAATAAAGGTACGTGGAAGGAAGGGCTCAGGCTGAGAGCTGGCTCATCTCCTCACCCAGTGTGACAGTTAAAGCACTGCCCTGGGACCAGCAGGTGGCGGGATGGTTGTCGTTGGACTCCTCTGTGGTCGCCTGTGGTTCAGGTCCTGGGCCAGTGGCTTAAATGTCATGCTGGACACGTGTGTGTGTGTGCCCAAAGTCATGTCATGCTGGACACGTGTGTGTCTGCCCAAAGTCCCGAGAAGAGACTGGAGGAGAAGGGGTTGCAGCGTGGCCATCCCCCCACACCAGGGTGATTTCTTGCTTTCTGTCTCTCTGTCTCTCTGGCACAAGCCCTACAGCAAAAATCTCTCTTAAGAAAAAGAAGAAAAAGGGGAGCCAGCAGGTGACATGGTAGTTGGGGCACCAGACTCCCACATGGCCGATCACGGTTCAAGTCCTGGACCTGGTGGCTTGCTTTCTCATTTTCCCCCTCTCTCTCTCTGGTCAAATTAAGAATAATCGTAAATGAAGTTAAATAAATAATTCTTTAAAATGGGGGGAAGCACCGTCTCCGGACCCCAGGCTGCAGTCTGAGCCATCGCTCTGCTGCCTGGTGCCGTGCGATGTTAGAAGTTTCTTGGCCTCCCAGTGCTGCCAAGCGGCTCAGTAAATGTAATGCACGTCAAGGGCTACGGATGGCCTCCGGCATTAGCAAGCTCTCCAAACGTAGCGTTAGCTCCTTTCTACTCAAGAGCAAAGGAACTGGTCATCGGGTCGTCAGAAAAGTCATGATGCATTTTTACATAGAAAAAACACATCGCGACTTTCCTGACGACCCAATACTTGGCATCTGTGACGCGCTAATAGATGTTTTCCAGGTTTGTCCTTACAGGACCTCCCAAAGTCAATGCTGTCACCCTGCCGTTTGTAGTGGTGAAGCTAGAGAGTGGCGGAGCCCCAGCGTTTTCCCCTGCAGAGAGCCGGAAGGAGGCGATGAGGGACCTGCCGTCCACCCTTCAGAGCGGACGCATTCTTTCCCCCCAGGTTTGAGTCTCTGTTTACTGAGCTGGAGCAGAAGCAAACAGAGCTGGGCATTTCCAGCTTCGGGGTCTCCGTCACCACCATGGAAGAGGTCTTCATTCGGTAAGCAAGGACACAACCAAACCCTGTGGAAGCCTAGGACCACGCAGAACCCTTAAGGCCGTCTGCTTCACGCTGTTCTCCGCGCTTGGGCCTTTCTGTATCAGCCTCACTGCTGTTTGCTTTTTCTAAGTCAGCCATCTCTCTGTTTCTTTAGGTTTTTGCCTTAGGAACATGCGCTTGCCAGAGAGAGACAGCAAGAGAGGAGAATGAGAGGCCGGCGCTCCGAGGGGACAGCCGGACCATAGCCCGCTCCTCCACTCTCCTCTAGGGTGCTGGGCACGCACCGGCCTGATTTTCAAGCTTCCAGGTCTGGGACTCGAACTGCGGTCAGCTATGTGCGAGTCCAGGGCTATAACCACCACATCCCAACACCCTTACTGTTAATGGGGATAATGATAACATAGTATCATTCAGTAGCAGAATTTAACAGTCACTTTCGGAGTGAGACAGAAAAAGGCTGCATCCGTTGGGATGCTTTTACATGTAAGTAACAGATCATTCGCTCAGCTGCTTTAGACAACAGGCGGTTTGTTATGTTATGTAAAAAGAATTCTCAGCACAGGGCAGCTCTGGGTCTGCTGGTTCATACGCCGAGCGGTCTGAACTAGGAAGCCGGGGTGCAAGCTCAGCTCCAGGGAGCCCACGCAGCCCAGGGTCGCCGCCAGGCCAGCGGGCCGCAGTGACGCTCAGAGCAGGAGCAAGTGGCGAACTCGTGGTTTTTGCTTGTTTGAAGAGATTTGTGCCCCAGAGCACATGTGCTCTGGAGAGACACGTCGAGAGGGAGAGCGAGAGATCACCACTGGGGTGGCTACACCCCAGTCCCTGCTCCTCCGTTCTCCTCCCGGGACCTTGGGCACGCATGCACCTGGCGTGATTTTCAGGCTCTGAGACCCGAACTGTGACTGACCGTGTGTGTGAGAGTTCTCCGACGTAACTGCTGTCAGCTGATGGTCCCAGCAGGGACCATGTCATCCAGGCTGGCAATGTTCATCTTTCAACCGGGACATGTAGTCTGCGTAGAAGTATTATTTATTATATATCCAGATATGTCTGTCATTTGACTTCATGCTCTCCAGCCTGGTCCGCGGGACTCTTCCTGTCCTGTTGTGGATTCCCCCCTCGTTCTCTCTCTCCCAGAGAAGTTGGAAGCGATGCATTTCTACTGTCAGTCTTGTGGCCAGCCCAGATATTAGGTGCACAGACGGAATTTGTCACACTCAGGCGCTTGTGTCCTTACTCTGGTCTGAGAAAACTGCCAGGACTTTGAACACTCTGATTTCCTTCACTGCTAGCCCACAATCACTAACGTATACACCACTGCGGAGGGTTTAAATTCTCTCTCTTAACCCCGTGAACACGATTGGTCTTGTCCGAGAAGCCATTTGACGTTGACATGCATCTGTGCTCCTCTGCGTCCTCGCCTCGTGCCCCCCACCCCCTACCGGGCAGCACCTCACTCGCTGTATACTGTACTTCTGGGTTATGTCAGTGCCACACTTTCTGGTCTGGGAATCATTCATTTCTCTTCTCTTCTCTTCTCTTCTCTTCTCTTCTCTTCTCTTCTCTCCTCTCCTCTCCTCTTCTCTTCTCTTCCCGTTTCTTCTTGCCTTTTCTTTCTTTCTTTCTTTTTTTTTTTTTTAAAAGAAAGTTTTTGCTATAGGGTGCATGCACTTGTTGGAAAGCTGGAAGGACAGAGAGAGACAGAAAGCGAGAATCACCCCCAGGAGGGATGGCCACACCACAATCCCTTCTCCTCCATTCTCCGCTCAGATCTTGGGCACGCATGTACATGCCCAGCGTGAGTTTAAGCCACCGGGTCCAGGACTCGAACCATGGTTGACTATGTGGGAGTCCAGTGATGCAACCATTATGCCATCTGCTGGTCCCTCTTTCATTTTTGAAGGATATTTTCACCAGGTTGTAAGTTATTTTAAGGGAACTGGATCCTATATGGCCTACCATGTGGCTGAGTCTCAGCCCAGCGGCTTGGACATGCTGGGAGCACGTGTGTGTATGTCCCAAACCCCAATAGAATGAGGGAGAGGAGGGACGGTGGTGTGATCATGCCCCATGGGTGCTTTCTTCCTCTCTGTCTCTCTGTCTCTGACTCTCTGGAGAGCACATGCACCCTCTGACAAACTGAAGCAATAATGATAAAAGGAGTCTTTCCGGAAGCCAGCAGACGGTGTAGCAGTTACCTCACTGGACTCTCACGTGAGTGACTGCCATTCAAGTCCTAGACCTGGGAGCTTGAAAATCACAGCAGGTGTGCGTGTGTACATCCCAAAGCTCCCGAGAGGAGACTGGAGGAGAAGGGACTGCCGTGAGGCCATCCCCCCTGGGGGGTGACTTCTCGCTTTCCCTCTCTCTGTCTCTGTCTGTCTCTTTCTCTCTCTCCAGTGAACACACATGCCATAAGGCAAAAACCTCTAAAAAAAAATGTCCGTCCCTCCACTGGACTGAAAATACTACTTCTTAGTCTCCTGTGGCTGATGGAGCCAGCTGTGGGCTCGTCACTGTCCCCTTGAATGCCAGCAGGACGCTCTCCGCCCCATTCCCCACACGGTCGGTGTCTGCCTACCTGTGGGTCTTCCCCTTCTTGGATGCCATCTAGACATTTAGATCTTCTCACTCTCTTTAAAGAGAGAATTTCGGCTTCGTTTTTGTATTTTCCAAAGCTGTCTCCCTGAGCTACTTCTTCATAATATTACAAATATTATAATTTTTTAATTGCCAAGGATTTTTGCATCCAAGAGAGGGGAAGCAAGATCGCACTCCACACGGGGCATGGTTATGCCGCAATCCCTTCTCTTCTATTTGCCCTCCTTTCGAGATTTTGGGCAGGCACACACACTCTCCTGGGGTGTTTTTCACATTGCTGGATCTGAGACTCAAACCACACAGTCGACTATATGGAATCCCACCACCTACCCACCAGGCCACGGGCTGGCCCTGACGCGCTTTTCATTTTTATGATAGCTAATTTCTGAAGCATTTCCTTTGGGGCCAGTCCCACAGAAGGCTGTTCAACACTATGCGGATGCTGGTCCAATGGCGGTGGGTTTTCAGAGCTTATTAACATTAGTGTCGCTGAAGTTGGTATACCACTGCTAAATCTGACTGGGGAAAAAAGGGAAAGAAAAAAGAGAAAAACAGAAAACCACTATGCAGAGGAAGCTGGATCCTGTAGGCTAACCAGGGTTCAAGCCCCAGGCCCAGCAGCTTGGAAAACTTGCTGTGCACACCTGTGTACGCCCCAGCCTGGCCAGGATGGGGACTGAGAGGGAAAGGACTGCAGCAGGGTCAGGCTTCTCGGGGCTTGCTCCCCTCACGTGTGCCGTGTCCGCTGACACAGTAAGTGGGTTCTTTAATGGTTATTGTCTTCTGTGTCCTGTCTAAAAGGCGTTGGCTTGGCCTTAGGTCACAAAGTCAGTCTCCTGCTCTTCCTCCTAGTAACGCTCTTACTCTAGCTTCTCCTTTAGGCATATGATCCTCCTCGTGCTAATTTCTGTGTGGCTCTATAAGGTGTCGAGGTGTATTTTTTTCCTCCATGGATATCCAGCTAGGACAGAACTATTGTTGAAAAGATTTTTCTTGGGACCAGCAGATGGCATAATAGTTACATCACTGGACTCCCACGTAGTTGACCATAGTTCGAGTCCCGCACCCTGTAGCTTAAAACTCACACCAGGCGCGTGTGCGTGCGTGCACAAGATCCCAAGAGGAGCATGGAGGAGAAGGGATTGTGTGTGGCCATCCGCCCTGGGGGGCGATTTCTCACTTTCTGTCTCTCTGTCTGTCCACCATGTGCCCTATAGCAAAAATCTCTGTCTCAAAAACAAAACAAAGCAAAACAGAAAAAAACAAAACAAAACAAAACTTTCCTTTCTGCCTTGAGTTCTGTGGACGCCTCCTGCAAGTCAGTAGACTGTCTGTGCCTCACCCTGTGTTCAGGACCCGTCTGCCCCACCCCCACACTGCAGAGCTCCCGTGCCTTTGCAGTGTGTGGGCATTCCCATGTAAATTTTAAAATAAACTTGTTCATTTGTACTAAAAAAAGAACCTGCTGCGATACTAACCCTCTGTCCTAACGACTGTATCGCATGAGCGAGCTGCCACTAATAGGGAAAATGGAGCCGGGCGGGAAGGTGCCTGGGGAACCCTCTGTGCCTTGCGCCCAGCCCCAGTGGAGTCTCCAGGAGACGTCAGCCTGGCCTATCGCCTAAGCATCGCCCTACGAGGAGCACTGAGATGGAACGACCCAGTCGAGCCCCTCCGAGTCCTGACCAGAGACACTGTGAGATCGTAAGGCTGGCTATTGTCTTATCATCTCAATGTTGAGATAGCCTGTCATGGCGGGAACAACAGATACACCGTCTTTTACAGAGCGATAGGTAGGGAA